AGTACCAGGGACAGGGAGGGTGTTTTCAGTACCAGGGGACAGGGGATGGTGTTTTTAGTACCAGGGACAGGGATGGTGTTTTCAGTACCAGGGACAGGGATGGTGTTTTCAGTACCAGGGACAGGGATGGTGTTTTCAGTACCAGGGACAGGGATGGTGTTTTCAGTACTAGGGACAGGGATGGTGTTTTCAATACCAGGGACAGGGATGGTGTTTTCAGTACCAAGGACAGGGATGGTGTTTTCAGTACTAGGGACATGGATAGTGTTGTCAGTACTATGGACATGGATGGTGTTGTCAGTACCAGGGACAGGGATGGTGTTGTCAGTACTAGGGGCATGGATGGTGTTGTCAGTACCAGGGACAGGGATGGTGTTTTCAGTACCAGGGACAGGGATGGTGTTTTCAGTTCCAGGGACAGGGATGGTGTTTTCAGTACCAAGTACAGGGATTCATTCATTCATTCATTCACCTTTATTTAAACTGGATGGCCCTGTCGGCCTTGTACATGCCGCTCTTCCCAGAGGTCCAGTAATGAGTGAGGGGTGGGATCACGGGAAAATAAATTAACTCATACACAATAAATAAACGAAAATCAACTATACAATATACTAGCTAGTGTTGTCCAAAATTCACAATCCTTCATCCAATTCTAAATCCGTCAAACCCTGCTATATTCTGTCCTTAAATGTCCTTAGCGATGGAGCCGAACGAGCTTCAGCAGGTGCGCTATTCCACAGGATAGCCCCGGACACAGCAAAAGATCTTCGCACACAGTCTCTGGACACCCTTGGCACCAGCAGTTTATTGGAGGTAGCCTGCCTGGTGATCCTGGTGGAACTGTCCCGACAAGTTGCAAAAAGTTCCTTCATGTGACTTGGCATCATGCCATTCAGTGATTTGTACACTGCCAAGAGTTTGTGTGTCTTGTGGGTGGTTGCAACGTCCCGCCATCCCAAAAGCAGGTGTACTTCAGCTGATGAAGTTCTCGGTTGAAGACCCAGAATCAGCTTCCCTACTTTGTTCTGCATCCTCTGTAACCTATTAATTTGAAATATACTAGCACCATCCCACAGTGTACAGTTGTAAGTTAAATGGGGAAGAAAGATAGTGTTATACAAGGTTACTAGAGCGGTCTTCGATACAAATGGTCGAACCTGCCTCATCATGCCAAGTGCACGTTTTAGTTTGGTCAAAACAGTACTGACATGTGTGTCCCATTTAAGGGATGGTGTTGTCAGTACTAGGGACAGGGATTGTGTTTTCAGTACCAGGGACAGACAGGAATTATGTTTTCAGTACCAGGGACAGACAGGAATTATGTTTTCAGTACCAGGGACAGACAGGAATTATGTTTTCAGTACCAGGGACAGGGATGGTGTTTTCAGTACCAGGTGCATGAGACGATATGTTGAAGGTAGTCTGACTGTGTAGAATGCTCTACAGGTCTTCCTATATAATACATGGTTACGTCTCATTCGTCATTACATATCATACTCATCATTACATATACAAATTGTCCATCCGAGATGATTTTTCAACTTTAAATATGTCATTTCATATTGTCTAAATGTGGTCATCAGATCCGTTTACCCGAACTGTTAGTTGAGCTTCCATGAACTAACTGTCTTCCAGCAACTATAACGAGTGTACATAAAAGTGGCTAAACAGTTGACCGTGCGGGACATTTGACTTGGGATTAGATATATCTCCTCTAACTAGGAATAACTGTCATTTCATATCTTTCAATGTGGTCATTATTTGCAGTTTTACTTTACAGGCGACCCAAGGCTACGGTAACTGAACAAAAACTGCCAATTTAGGCATCATGCAGGACGTGCACTATCTTTATTTGGCCAGGATAATACACATATCGCCCACTGGCGGTTTTCAATATTTTATGGGATATGTAGGAAATGTGCTAAATTTGACTGTATGACTTGCATTAAAAAAATGACAATATCTATGGCCGTTATGACCAGTTTGTTTTGGCCAAGTCCATCTCAATTTATATATTCAACATCACCAAGAGATGAAGAGAAGCCGAATCTATAGCTATATATTAAAGTAGTTATAAATAAAGATGTTATAATTTAGAACCCATGTTTTAGATTCTATTCGGGCCAATCATGCTTCCCATACGCCCATATTTATCCGTTTTGACCAGATTATTTCAAACAAGCCCATCTCGGCCAATACATTCAACACCATCAAGAGATAATGAGAAGATGAGTCCATGTATTACAGTAATTTTAGATTCCACTCGGGCCAATCTTCCTGTGTGTCCAAAGATGCACACAGAACTCCATTAGTGCTAAACTGAGTTATCGCTGCGTGAAAACGAAGTTGTTGTTTTTATAATCCCCACAGGAAATCTAAAAACATCAACGGAGCTTCCAGGCGAGAGGTTAAAAGGAAGCAGTCTTTGAAAACGCTAAACTGATTTCCCCCGTCAATATGTGTAAATTACGTTTGCTGCCCACATGTTTATTTCAACAACGTTGTCAAGATATTAAAAACCTTCAGAGACTTTTTGAAGCATATTGATTTTTTGCTCTTGTAAAAGCATCGTGTTTTCGCGTTTTCCCCGTCTATATGTGGAAATTACATTTGCTGTCCGCATGTTATTTCAACATCTTTGTCAAGATATTAAAAACCTTCAGAGACTTTTTGAAGTATATTGATTTTTGTTCTTGTAAAGGCAACATCGTGTTTTTACGTTATAATACTTGATGCATATAGTTGAAAGCATATTCACTCTTTATTTTCATGACTTCAGGAAAGACAGCTTGCTTATAGGCACTTAAGTTTTCGAGTAACCGCTTTTACCTTGAATAGAACATGGTAACACTAGTGTTACCATGTACTCTCCCACACAATTACCTTGAGTGAAGGGAAGGCAGCTTGCTTAGACACTTCAGTTTTGAAAAACTGTTTTTGCCTTGGATAGAGTACGTACATAAGTGTTGTCATGTACTCAACCACAATTACATTGGGTAAAGAAATGGCTTACTTCGACACTTCCGTTTTCAAAAACTGTTTTTACATTGGATAGAGTGCGTGCATAAGTGTTGCCATGTTCTCCGCAGCAATTTCCTTGAGTGAAGGAAAGACAACTTGCTTCAACACAACAACTCTCGTACTAACTCACGATCTTGTGCCCTTTGGAAAGGCACTTTACACGACTTTCCTCACTTCGCTCAGGTGAAAATGAGTATTGTCTTGTCCCCTGTGTTGGTGGTGGTATTAATATAAGTTGAAAAAACTTGAGTGTGCCGTCACCACGTCTTGTGATTTTGGATCGATGTTAATATAAAATATATAATATAAAAAGAAACTCTCATGCTTAAGACTTTCCCCTTAAAACTACGTTAAACACGAATGAACATGGGCGTCCTTCAGTCTAAGAGTAGATTTGTTGTTTGCTGAAGGAAATTACTTTTATTCCAAAAGGGCTTATTTTTCAAACAGTCATCCACCAACGGATGACGCCATAGAGGCCCTAAAGATGTACAAGTAACTGGTAAGAAGTGTCCCATGCTAAAGTCCTCCCCCTTCAAGTTTCATTACACATGTGTTAGCATGGGCGTCCTTCAGTCTGAAGGAAATTACTTTTACGTTCAAAAACGGCTTTTTCAAACAGCCTGCCATCAGCAGATGACACCAGAGAGGCCCTGAAAATGTAACTACAGCTATTAAGACACAGAAATAGTTCTATTTCAAGCCCAAGTAACTTCACGTCTTAATGTCACAGCTATTGAAGCTGCGTGATTGATGTGGAATACAGAAATAAATGAATAATGAAATGTCGATAGTCGTGTGGTAACGACAATGCTACACCTCCAAATAGTCTAATCCATTATGTATCTTACACTTAATAACAGATATCTTTTTTTATTTTTTATGTACGTGCCACATAGGGAACAGGCAATGGAGCTAAGATTATGTAGAGAAGGTTGAATTGAAAATATGCCTAAATGTAACGTACACGTAGGCGTACTATAGATCTTTCAGTCCAGAGGTCCACCTGGAATTTAGGCACTTATAGTTTGCTTGTTGCCCGAGTCAACCTCGATGTTTTTCTCCTCCAGGCTTCCGTGCTGACTGAGCGCGGTTTAACGGCAGGTCGTGTCAGGTCAGGCGCAGGTCGGGACTGGGGATGAGGACGCACGAAACACACTGACAGCGATAAAACGTTTCTGACAACGTCACTGACGAAAGGTAGTGGATGCTACCTGAAACGTCTGGCCGTTTCCAAAATCATATCCAACTTGGGTAACTGATTTTTTTATGTGCTGTCGCTATCGGTACTGCTGACAACTTAGCTACGACCATGGAGGCGTCAGAAATGTAAAACGCGTGAGCATAGACAACGCAAACGATCCACTTTGAGAACATTAAAAACGCATCAGTTGGACACTAATGCTATAATTAACCTTCAACTTGTGCTACTGACCATCTAACTACGACCATGAAGGCATCGGAAATGTCGAATTCGTGAGCAACTGTCCAGATCTTTGCCACAGATACCGCAAACGAACCACATCAGTTGGACGTCAATGCTATGATCAACCTTCACCCTGTGTTGGTGGATACATGTACGACAACCAAGGCATAAAAAGCGTGGCATCAACGGCATCAACGCAAACGATACACCTTGAGAACAACAAAACACATCAGCTGGGCGCTATTGCTGTAATAAACCTTCACCCTATGTTAATGGCCATCTAGCTACGTCAACCAAGGCATCAAAAAAGGTGGCACTCAACGCAAACGATATACGTTGAGAACAACAAGACACATCAGTTGGACACTTATGCTATGATGAACCTTCACCTTGTGCTGATGGCCATCTAGCTACGCCCGCGAAAGCGCCAGAGCTGTCAAAAGCGTGCAACACAACGCAAACGACACACGTTGACAACAACATTTCCCAGTTGGACGTTACCACTACGAACCAGAGTAATATTTCCTCCACCTCTGTCGCGCTGCGTTCAGCTATGACTACGGAAGCATCGGATCTGCCCACAGCGTGGCCAACTGTCCAGACCTTCGCCATGGACATCGCAAACGACAGTACGCCGACTGCGTACGACAGCACGCCGACCTCATACGACAGCACGCCGACCGCGTACGACAACTTTACAACCCCTGCAGCAAGCCTGTCCCCGGCGACTTACATCTGCGTGGCAGAACTCTTCGCAACCGGATTCGCCCTCATCAGCTGCATCGGTACCTTTTATTTATCTATTCTTTTTCTTATTCATTAGTTCGGCTTACAACAGCCAGGGTTGCCCAACTAGTCGTAGACTATTGTTAAGGATCAACCCTGGGAGAAAATAGAATCGTTAGGTATACATAAAGCTATAGATAGCTAGCTTTAAACAATGTTTATAGTAAGATGTTCAAAGGTTAGGTGTAAGGTAAATACACTATATAGACATAGGTAGACACTAGAATTCTACAAAGGTGCTAAACTACATCTATTGCATACAAATGAATGAACATATAAGGCTAACATTGATATAGTTTACGTGTTCCTTCCCTCTTTTTAAAACAGGTATATACGAACTCACAGAGTTTTTGTTGTGCAGTATTGTTAGGGGATGTCATTATGTACACAAATAATCTTTTGCTACCTATTATACAATAATAGGTACCATCGGCAACCTGTTGGTCATCACGTCCCTCCTGGTCAACAAGAAGCTGCGCACGTCCCTGAACGCGTTCATCACCAGCATGGCGATGGGCGACCTCATCTTCGCCGGCGTACACGAGCCTCTCTCCGCACAGGCCCTGGCGCGGGGAGGTCTGTATCTGTATCTGTTAACTTAGTATACACTCTGTTTAGTAGCCATATAACATGTTTAGTATAATTAGGTACAACTGCTCACTGTACCCTTCATGTGTATAGTTTAGCGTAATGTAGAATATACATGTAGAGTAAAAATATTCTCTAGCCAGTAGTTATTCGTAATATTCTGTCAGATACAATGTCCGTTGACCATATATATAGCATTATGTTAGACACATACCAACTAGTAATCCTTTTATTTGTCATACATTGTACCCGTGACAATCGTTGTGCAATAAACTTTGACTTGACTTGACTTGTATAGCCGGTATAACAGGTTACAGAGCGATCAAATTTCCGACGACCACTGTCGCCTTCATCAGGATAATTAATGACCAATCACTTCACAGCGTGATCTCGCTCTGTAACCTGTGTGTTGGAATAAAGTTCAATGTCTTACTATGATTACTACCAACACAGATGAACTTTCATGATAATGACTATTTCTTGTTCTCTTCTGGGCTGGTAAAAGGTCTGACCTACCGGCCGGGGCTCTGTACAGTACTGGGGGCCGCAACCGTGGCGAGCGCCAGCCAGTCTCTCATAGGTCAGTATTGTGTAGATTACTGTCTAGGCCTTTCATTGGGGTTCCTTTTTTGCACTGAAATTTTTTACGCCAACCACACACGCCAAGAACAAGCCAAAACCCAAACCTTTGTTTGAAGAGTATTGTAGATAGCTATAGCATGACACTACATGGTTTATTGCATATATGTAAGAAGAAGCCAGTGATATCTATTTCGTAAGATATGTGCCTTCAAATGAACCTTTCACTTTGTCCTCCCTATCATATAGCGTCCACCCTGATCGCCGTCAACCGCTTCATCCTGATAGAGTATCCGTACACGGTGTACAAGAAGGTTTGTTGTCTTGTTTTTTTTTGTTTATAAGCATGTAATCAAGGGGATAAAATAAACACAACAAAAGAAGATATGAGGGGGGAAGATTAAAAAAACGTTATCATTAATTGTATGGCACATTATTATAATAGTTATTGATCAAATAGTACTAATGATATTCAACAACATATGATGATTATTATTAGTATATAAGAACAAATAATTATTGACTAACGCTAATTACAAAAGAGAAGTGAAACCCATTAGGCATAGTTTTAGACATAGCTTGAGTTATTTTATGTTCTGTTTCAATGTTCTTTTATGTTTATTATCTGCAATAAGCCTTCAGGCAGGAATTTGCGATAAACTTTTCGTATAAGATTGGTATCGTAACACCTCAGGTGTTCTTGCTTCATGATCGCCGGTATAACATATGATAATTAGATAAGAATAAATAATTATAAAGTAACGCTAATTAACATTGGTATCGTAACACCTAACCCCTCAGGTGTTCACGCCGTGTAACACGTTCTTCATGATCGCCGGGTCCTGGACGCTGTCCATCCTGGTTGTCCTCCCTCCGCTGCTGGGGTTCGGGCAGCTCGGGTACAACCGTGCCTCGGCCATCTGTGACTTCGCCGTGGACAACCCGTCAACTTTCACCTACTTCATGACCATTCCCGGCGTCCTGGTCTTCCTGTCAAACGGTGTCACCGTCGTCTGCTACTTAAAGATATACCAGAAGGTACGTAAAAGACTGGTTACTTAAAGATTGTTGTAGCCAGAACCGTGCTTTATCCGCACACTGTTCTGGACAGTCCACTAAAATCAAGAACTGGCATCACCGTCGTCTGCTACGAGAAGGTATGAGATAGGTTACTTAAGGAATGTTGTATTGCCAACCGTGCCTTTTAGCATGTTAGAGGCACGATTCTGGACCGTCAACTAAAATCCAGAACCAGTAGTAATGGATAGTCCACAACCGCGCCTGGGCCATCTGTGACTTCGCCATAGACAACCCGTCAACCTTCACCTACTTCATGACCATTTCGGGCGTCCTGGTCTTCCTGTCCAACGGTGTCACCGTCGTCTGCTACTTAAAGATATACCAGAAGGTATGACTATGAGATAGATAATTAAGGCTTGTTGTAGCCAGAACGGTACCTTATCCCAAGTATAATGTCCTTGCTTATCCATAGCCATTTTCAGTAACGGTTCTGGCCGGACAGTCCACTAAAATCCAGAACTGGCATCTACCAGAAGGTATGTGTTAGATTATTATAAAGGAATATTGCATCCAGAACCGTGCTTTTCCAGAACCATGTTCAGGCACGGATCTGGAAGGTCCACTAAAATCCAGAACTCGTTATGGATAGTACAAGTGTATCCAGAACCCGTCAACCTTCACCTACTTCATGACCATTCCGGGCGTCCTGGTCTTCCTGTCCAACGGTGTCACCGTCGTCTGCTACTTAAAGATATACCAGAAGGTAACAGCTACCCTACTTAAGGCTTGTTGTACCCAGAACCGTGCCTTATCCAGAACCATTTCCCTCCACGGTTCTGGACAGTCCACTAAAATCCAGAACTGGCATCACCGTCATCTGCTACTTAATGATCTTCCAGAAGGTAGGATCCACATTACACTAGGCTTGTTTTGTCCAGAACCGTGTTAAGAGCAAGTGTCAGAACAGAATTGGGGACTGGTCGCTATATATAGCAATATGGAAGATACACCACCATTTTCCTCTGCATTCATCGGGCAATATTTGCATAATCTCCCATGTACAGGTAGCTTTTTTATAATGTGTTTGAGTAAGAATAAAAACAAATAGAGCATGCAGTAGTTTGCTAGGCCCTGTGAAGATGCATTTTTGCTTTGCATTTGCAAATATTTCCTGTCTAGTTTAACAAAGTTTGTTTTGTTTGCCTTTAAGGTAAAGCAGAGCGCAGCGAACGCACACCGCGGCCCGGGCCCGAACACCGGGGGCGGCCGGCGGCAGGTCCCGGGGAAGGTCCTGCACCAGACCAAGCACATGTTCGTCATGTTCGTCACCTTCTGCGTCTGCACAACGCCCTACTCCATCTTCTACACTATGGACAGAGACATGAAACTCTCACCGTGTCTCTGGCAGACTCTCACCTTCCTCTTCGCCTGCAACAGGTAAAACAAACAAACAAACAAACAAGCAAACACGCCGTACACCATCTTTTACACCATGGACAGGGATATGAAACTCTCACCGTGTCTCTGGCAGACTCTAACCTTCCTTTTCGCCTGCAACAGGTAAAACAAACAAACAAACAAACAAACAAACAGAAACAAACACGCCCTAAGTCATCTTCTACACCTTTCTCTTTGCCTGCAACAGGTCGGTCTGTCATATATGTAATTACATGCACATTTCAGCAGGAAAATATTCTGGATGAGAAAATCTGTCTTATATTATTAACATTTGCAGCCTTTTCGTAGCACATTTGTGTCATCATTTGTGTCATCATTTCAAAATTCTTTAACGCTGAAGATCTTTCAAATGGATTGTTCCTTTATAAAATGCACTGTAAAATCAACGCAGTTTAGTCCTGATGGCTACAAAGTTGATAAAGTTTGAGTTTGATTCATTCATTCATTCATTCCTCCAGTTCCATCAACCCCGTGATCCACACGTGCCGCAGCCGGGACTACAGGAACGCGTTCCGCCACATCGTGTGCTGCGGGAGGAGGCGGAGACCGGCCCACGTCGCCAAGGCCCGCAGGATCACCGTGGAGGAACAGAGGAACGTCCCGGCGGCAAAGAACACCCGCGCACCGGCGGGGGCCCGGCCGGGACCCGGGGGCAGCCCGCCGTCGGATTCTACAGACACCAGCCCGCTGCAGCAGCAGAGAGGCAGCATCGCGGTCACTCAGCTGTCAGCACAGCCGCTGTCCGGCACGTCGGTACAGCAGCTATACAGCCAATCGGGACAGCAGCTGTCAAGTCATTCCGGACGACCGCTGTCCAGCTATTCAAGACAGCAGCTGTCTAGTCATTCGGGACAGCTGCTATCTAGCCGTACAGGACAGCCAGTGTCTAGACATTCGGAACAGCACGTTTCCAGCCAATCGGGACAGCAGCTATCCAACCAATCGGGACAGCCGCTGCCCAATCATTCGGGACAGAACCTGTCCAACTTATCGGGACAGCAGCTATCCAGCCAATCAGGGCGGCCGTCATCAAGTCATTCGGGACAGCATCTGCCGGGACAGCCGCTGCCCAGCCATTCGGGACAGCAGTCGGGGCAGCAATCGGTACAGCAATCGGGACGGCCGCTTTCTAGCCGTTCAGGACAGCCAGTGTCTAGACATTCCACTGGGTACAGGACCGGTTTCCATGGCGGCAGAGTAGAGCTTTTCGAGGAGCTTCCCGGAGTTAGCGTGTGAGCAACCTTGTAGTCATTTTCCAGCCTCGGTTCAGTCAATTCAGGGCGACCGACATCCGGCCATTCAAGACAACTTTTCGGGACAGCAGCTATCTAGACATTCAACTGGGTACAAGACTGGTTTCCATGGTGGCAGAGTAGAGCTTTTCCAGGAGTTAGCATGTGAGCTGTTGATCTTTAACTCAACGGCCAAAATGCACCATGTTTTGATATACCTCAAAGAAAATGTGATTTTTATATTTTGACTACAATCCAACCTTTGGCTCATTTGCATTCACTCTACCGTATATACGTACATTAGCCATTACTACAAACAGAAGAGAGAAAAATTCTACAGGTTCACGCTGGTATAACCAACTTGTTTCGACGTGGGCAAATGGATGGAGCTTGAAGAAAATGAGCAATTCAACACGTCGATGAAGGTTAGACATCCAGGTAATACGATACGCCAAAAAGCAGTTAATCAAGCGACTGGATATGATTTTGGAAACCGTCAGACGTTTCAGGTGGCATTCAGGTGGTAAAGCTAGTGGATGCTACCTGAAACGTCTTACCGTTTCGAAAATCATATCCAGTCGCTTGAGTAACTGTTTTTTTGCGAACGATTCATCAGTTCAATCAACCTTCCCCTTCAAACGCATTATCAAACCCGATTCGGCGCCCCGACATGTAGTTAATATTTAAGCTACTTGTCGAAAGAAATCACTCACATGTTTTTAAGTGGATCTGACAAATTCTCAGAAGGCTACAGTGTTATTTTCTGACCCGCCACCTAAAATCTTACTTCTTACAAGTTTTAATGGACTATTGATGGGCTTTCAGCAAACGTAGACTCTTAAGCTGAGGATTTTTGTGTGTGTGCCAACAAGGGATTCATTTAAGAGTCGTTAATACTGTTTTACCTGAGGCTTTCGCTGGCGTAAAAACATATCTCTGGGCAATTTTTGATTTATGGAAAAACCAGTCTTAATGCGTCCAAACTGCCTAAACTTTACACACGGGCGTGAACACATCTCCTGACAATTCCGCGATGTCGTAAACACATTTTAATGCTTCTACTGCTGAACCACAACAGAGTGATGTAAAGCTGAAGATTTAGTGCCTTGTGGCTCAACAAAATCCCAGACTTTTAACGCCGTGATCACTTCTGGTGAGTCCGTGCGGCTAAGCGTTTTTGTCTGGCGTCGGTAAAAACAGGCTCAGACGGTCCCCTGAACATTGAAGATGGACAACAGCGTCTGCCAACGGGCGCTAGGTTTTAGAGAAACTTTTGGAAAGAAACTTGAAGAATCATTTGCTGAATATCCACCTCGTTTCACAAAATCGCAAAGTCTAGAACAAAACTAGCGATGCTAACAGTGAATATTACTAGTAATTTAAAATATGCCCCCCTGAAAACTGAATATTGATTGTCTAAGAAGTTTCTTGCTTTCGAAAGAAAGAAAATTTTGCTGAATATCCGCTTCATTTGGCGAAATCACAAAGTTATTTGCCAAAAGTTAATGTTACTTTATAACATTGAAGAAAAAAAACAGTTACCATCCCACTAGTGAGCACGATTGCCGCCTTGAATCGCATTCAGCGTAGCTATTAGTATTCATGATAGGTTTCTATAGCCTGCCGAGCTACAGGGATTAAAATTTAAACCTTGCACGCAAACTGCTCTTGACACTGATCCGAGAGCAGCCGAGCCCAGGCCATTGTTATTTATCTCTAGCTAAATGTTATTGACATCTTTAGTTGACAAGCCGATCTATATAGCTTTGTTAGCTAACGCACAGTGGCTTATGTCTGAAATATGTTACCACTCGAATCTTATCAGACAAAACAAGATGCTGAGTGAATTAATTACTGCCGTGCCAAAACGTCCGATGCTATCAAGATTATTCTTAAGAAGCTTAGATCACACAGACTGAGATAGCATGTATCATATTACTGTCGTATCATATTTCATGTTGTGCGGACGTGCGAGAACGCACTCCAATGAACTTGACCTGACGTGGAAGTTCAACTGTGTAACATGATACAGTTAGTCAGTTACGGGGACTTTGTTTCAGCACACAAAAATAAGGGCATTGAATTTTCTTTCCTAAATTGGTTTACTTTATACTTCAAGTAACAAATCACTTAGGTCATGTGAATTTATATTATCTTGAATTGTAAAATAGATGAATATAATTGAGATACGCGTACAGTTTTTTGCAATATAAAAGGGACATAACAGTGGATTTCTTTATTTCTTAGTTTTGTGTGTGAAAATGTATGTAGAAAACGCGAATGTCTGTAGGGAAATATATTGTAGAATCTTAGATGTACTGTTGTTTTAATTATGATGAACAGTATTTTGGGGTGATGTTTTGTTAAATGTTGTTAACGGCTGTGTATTATCTGAATATATATACCATTATGTTACCAATCGTATATCATATCAACGATATCGTGTTGTAGTATTATGTATTATTGTATCATTATGATGATGAGTATTATGTACGTATATATCTAGCTATGAATCAAAAGATAATATATCTATATATATACATCTGTTCCATATAGGTCGTTATGATGTGCATGCTGTTTTCTTATTCAATATTGCTTCATAGCTTCAGGCATTCGAATATGAACAATAGTAGTGTTATTGCTATTGTTATTGTTGTTTTGTTGTTCAATGAAAAAAAGGTGGGTCTTTGCTACAGATGACACCTTTAGCTCTCTTTATTTCTCTTTATTTAGATACCCTTTAGCCAAAAGGCTAATCTTCCTGGGTTCATTCGAGAAAAACATACAAACAGCAAATAGGTTCTCTTTTTGCTGTTTTTTTTCGTGTATCTACACTCTACACGCACTACATAAAATACTATAATAGACGCGGACAAAAATAGCCGCCCGTTCTGGTTAACCCTATCTAGACGGGGGGGGGGCTTAAAGTGCTCGCGGCCAAACTTGGTGAAGTATTGTTGGCAACAATTCTGTAGTATAATTTGCTATTTCTACACAAACTGCACAAAATGCTATAATAGACGCTGATAAAAATAGCCCTCCCTTCTGGTTAACCGCGGAAGTAGCGATTATCCAAGCATCAAATATCTCCCCTTCCTCTCCCCACACTGCGTTAAGGGATTTAGAATCACATTAAGAAGATCCCAGTTTTTCGCTTTAATGTCAACCTGGCCAGTTTACCTAATATTGGAGTAGGCCAGACTACCTTACCTCAATAGGAGACAAGCTAAACTTAGAAGCGCAAAGCAAGCATTTGATACATTAAGAACATGTGTTTAAGTCTCCACGATACATTTTGGCCTTTCTACGTGTTAACGGATAGGTCTGCCCTTTTGGGAAAGAGGTTTAGCATTTGTGAACAAGATTTCCGAAAGATTATAGCCCAGAAGTTCTCTTGATGTTTAAGACACCTTGGTTTCATGTGAGGTCTTCTGTCCACATTTTGGGAATTTATATACTTATAGTCATTTCTGATTTCGATAAAGACGAACTTTATTGACACAACAAAAGTACAGCGACTTTCGAAAGTTTTTTAGACATGCAGAATTGACCTACGTACAAGACTCTGGGTGAATGAACTTATACTATTTGTTCTTAGGTCTAAATATTCTTTGATATATTCACCTATTTGTACACAGTAAGGGTTACTACCTTCTAGAATGAAATTGAATTTATCTATACCATGAAATGTAAAACATTCCGTTCACCAAGCGGAAAGAGGGTTGAACAACTTTGTACGTTTATCATTATAGAGAGGACAATCCATAATAAAATGTTCATCTTCAATCTCATTATGTGGTTGAGCACAGCTTCTTATGGAGACTCTGCACAATAGTGCACATCATAAAAACAAGCAAAAACAAGCAAACAAACAAACAAACAAACAAACCAAAACCATGTTATGTACAAACTCAAAACATATACAAGTGCATCAATGACAAAACCGTACTCATACTCCTAGTCCTTATCCGTGCTAGGCCACAAGGATTGGAGGTCAGGGGTCACACATTTACAATCAGAGAAGTACCTATTATCTAAGAGATATAAAGCTCGCAGGGGGAGACATTGTATCAATCTACTCAGCTTACTGAAGGGAGACCTGAAGTGCAGAGGGCTAGGCCCTCCCACAACAGAAAAGAAACTGAAGGAGCTTAGAGAGCTCGCGAGGCAGAAGACACGGTGGAAAGAGATGAAGAAAGACTGAATGCGGCTACAGGACATTTCCATACGACTGTAGACGCAGAACACAGTGGATGATGATGATGAAGTACCTATTATAACAGTCGTCGTTTTCGTAGCTCAAAGTAATGGTAATGATATAGTCTTGTAAAACTAGGATATCATTAGCGCTATAACATCTGCAAGCAAATACAGAATACTTATATTGGTCTTCACATGGTATTTCTCTCTATATATATACATACATATACAAACTAGAAAGGTAACATTTGCAAAGCAAATTCATAACATAATGTTTACTTTCACTTGGTTTAGCCTAACAAACTCTCTGTTCATTCTTACTTAAGGACATCCATATATGTTGTGACACAGAGAACTCTGTCCTGCAACTTGCTAAATAACGTAATCCAACACCACAGGGTGTCTGCTACACTAGTTGCCATGATGACAGACGACTGGTCCAGGTCATTGACCTTATGTGTTTGGAACAGAGAAAAAACAGAGCAAAAACAATATTTTTCCCTCTGCAAAGGTAAACATAATGAAAGTAGTAACAAAATAGGAAAAGATGATGAATTGGACTTGACGTTTCGCCACAGCTGATGTTGGACGATGGCATGAATGTTGCTCTGAAACGCCGACCTGAAAAAAGGAACGTTATTTTTAACTGACACTACTGGGCAATACGGAATATTGCGCAATTATCTCTACCATGATAGCAACGCCTAGACTTACTAAAGATAGATATCATTTTAGCACTAAACATTTTTTACAATGATAATGAAGTTTGATGCGGTGACTGTGAATGAAAAAGTGTCAAGAAACAATAGCAAAGGCCAAAATGATCATGACCACTTTTCGCTATTTCTCTTTTACATGATACCAGACCAAATCAGCCTTTGGAGCAGAAAGTTCATGTATGAGTAAGAAGAAAAGAAAGTTCATGAATATGAAGAAAAGTGAACTATATGAAAAAAAAAACTTACCTTTTCTTAGGCCACCATCTGGTCTGTTGGATGTGGTGCAAATTCTTTGCCAACTGCTGCTTTCGGTTCTCTGAGAACTAGAGGAAACAGAAAAAGGAGAGGTATGAATAATGTTTCATGCGAAACAGATCTAGAAAGGGCAGGTAAAAAGAATGTTTCATGCTATGCATGTGCTAATATAATTGTCATATGCAGGTCGTAAACCTGCATTTATTTGTATGTTGTACACTTACATATCAAAATTCATGAGTATTAGTTTCGAAAACAAGAGTTCATTCAGTCGATATGGCCATTTGGAACTTATCAGGTTTTAACCTATCGAGCATCCGACTGTCAAGCAAGGGGACCCAGGTTCAATCCCCAGGGTTGCACCCAGACGTTGTGCCCTTGGGAAAGGCAATTAACACGTATTTCCCCTGAGTTAGAGGGGTCCTGGGCCCTACTGTGGTTTGGGCTGGCGTTCTAGCCGTGCAAAAAAAAACTTGCCTAAAAAAAAAAAGAAATGGCACTGAATGCAAGCATGTGTACCCCCCCCCCCCCCAGTTTCGGGTAAAAAAGACGTTAAACTGGATATAGAAGGAGACAAATGGTTTGTTTTTACGAATTGATACAATTTTCACATTGCATAGTACCTGGATGTCTGCGTCTTGCCTGCCAGCTGAGACCATCTGGGATGTATGCAGGACGTGTGTACAAGTGTGACGACGTGTGTACAACTCTCCAATCTTCGGATTTTTTTCTTTGGGGTATGAAGGAACTCGTATGACACATTGAGATCAATAGAAAATAGACGAACGCCCCTGCAATAGTTATCATCAGCACTTCATGCGGCCTGATAATTAAGCATATGGCGTAAAGGATGAAACATATGATGATCAAAACTTCGAAGTTACACATGCAAGATATGTCAAGACATTTCCAAATTCTACACGAAAAACTGCCATTTTCAGTTCTGGCATTTTCACAGGTTTCATTGTTTTCAGGGGATTTTGGCAACTGAACGTTGACTTGGTTGGGCAACGGAGTGGGCCTGGGATAGTCCTCTTTGCCTAAAAAAGAAGAGAAAATAGTAATAATTTTTTGTTTATCAAGTTATTTTATTAATAAAGACTCATTTTACAAATTTACGCCACTTTTCGACGAATTCTACGATCCGCATTCCGTAGAAAGGCCTGGTAGAGGCTATATGCTCACCCAGATTCTTTCTCAGATTATCCGCAGCAGACTCCAACTCTGCAGACATAAGCGCCTGTAACAGAACCTCCACGGTTGCCTCGTCTCCCTTCGCCCGCTTCCAGGTCTGTGACAAGGTACAAGATGAAGTCCACTTTGTCGTAGAGTGTAGTTTATACAGTAATGATAGAAATAATTTGTACCTTTTCATCTGTACTTAGCCGGATAGGGCATGAAATGTACAATAAGGGTTAAGCCTTGAAATTAACTTTTATCCTATTGTCCCAGCATTGTCCCGAAAGTAAATTTCGATTGTTCCAAAGTATGTATGACTTGAACTAAATCTTTGTTTTGCCTACATGTATGTCCCCAGGCACGTTATAATTGCAGAGTAAACAAGAAATTTGGGCGGCTTTCCTTGGGGCCAAACGCTGGGACGTGTGCTTGATAAACAAAAGAAGGGCTGACATTCTGATGTTGATTATTTTTCTATTGTCCCAAAATGTCCCAAAGTGTCTTTTTAGTTGTCCCAGCCTAAATTCTAGTGGTCAGTGGCCATCGGGACACCGTTAATTTCGAGCCCTGTACCTGTAACACATCCAAGCAGCAGGACGTGGCGTCTGGGTTCCGGCTCTCGATGTTGCGCGTGTCCGTGATGCCCAGGAACAACGCCAGGTCCCTGTAGTCCGCGCTCACGTCCTCTTTCACGCCGTAGAAATACGCCGACACATCTACAGCTTAATACGTAAATTCAGACGTTTCAATTCCACGTAAAAAACCGACAGGAAATCTTGCATAGTATTGGGGACACGGAAAAACAGGGGAAATTCTTTTTAAGATAGAAGCATTTTCTTACCTTTATCCATGTTCAAAAGATCTTCGTAAGTTTCTTCAAAGTTCCGAAAAATACCTGAAAATATAAGGTAGTATCTAATATAAACCATTCAGTGTTGAAGTAAGTAGGCACATTTAAAACACCGCATTTAATTAATAGCTATTCAACGTTGTACAGTACAACATCCCTTTCAACAAGTCACCAACTTAAAAGCACTAAAACACCTGGAAAGCCCCATGACGTAATGCAATATGGTGCTCTGGTGTCCGGTTACACCAGTGCTAAACTAACGTCCCTGGTGGTTACATCAGTCGCGCGACGGGTTCGCGACAGCTTACGGACATTCGTGGACAGTCGTGGATTTCAAAGCACACATTTTGGCTAATAGGCCAATGCCAGTTTTCATAATATAAAAGCTGTGAGTCTTAGTCTGTGCCCAACCAGGCAGTCAGTTCTCTATGCAGTCTATGCATACCGTGAGTTGTAGCCACTGGAAAAATCGTACAGGAACTATAGAAAGTACAACTTCAGCGCTGATTACCAACAATTACGCGTTACGGCTAATGTACTGATTACGAATTACGCCGATTGTGGGCGGCTGCCTAAAGATTACGGAGACTAAAAAGGTCTGATTACTTCTTGAAAAGGGCATGCAGGCCCTCTTAAGGCATACCGTGAGTTGTAGACTTGTAGCCACGGGAAAAATCGTACAGGAACTATAGAAAGTACAACTTAAGCGACCGTGGCGAACGTTGGGAACAGTCTCTAGTCTTTAACCTCTTGACATGCGTCTGGTAGAGCCTGAACAATTCAAGTATTACCTTTGAGAAGCGATGGCACTAAGAGTAGACGTGGCTCTGCCTCTCTCAGTTTTCTTTACTTCCTGGTCGAAAAGTACGGAAAGTCCCGCAGTGGGAAAGTCCCGTGACGTCATGTGGTAAGTGTGCGCAAGCGCGAAGTGAGTTGTAGGGAGTAGCGTCGTTCTTTGTTTTCTTTGTTTTTATAGTCAACCTTCCAAACATGCGAAACCGCCAGCGAAAGTTATAAATCGAGCGTATTGAGACAGGTGTTCATGTTAAGTGTCATGTCAACTCTTAACTCAACTCATGGCCTTTGCACGCGTTAACGGACAGGTCTGCCCTTTTGGGAAAGAGGTTTAGCATTTGTGAGCAGCATAATGATATAACTGTATCTAAAATTGGTTTCTTTATCTTCGTCGCCGGCAATGCTAAGTAGGCTGGCCTCGGGCAAACCTTTACTAGATAGTTTGACAACGTTAAGGTTTTACCAACTCAGATGAACTTTTATGCTTAAGATAAGGTTTCTGAAACCTTGACCCGGTATTATCTTGTCTTCAGCGGCAAGACTGTTTAAGTCATCTTTACTTCTTTCTTAAACTAAAGGCGCTTGCAACTTAGGTTGTAACAAAGTATTATATTATGTAGCACTGTCCTTGGTGCTGAACATGCAATTTTTCCGGTCGGCTGCTCCGTAGTTCGTTTGTTTGTTCGTTCGTTTGTTTGTTTCTTTGTTTACTAAGTTGCTTTCCTGGTTACCTGGCTTCTTGGTAAAAAAATACTTAACACAACAGACGGCAACAAGAGGGTTTTTAAAGCCCCTTAAAACTATTAGAGCCTTAAAAGGTAGTAGTAAGAGCCTTTTTGTGGGATCATCTGATTCAGGTTAAACAAACATTTCCCACAGCCATTAGTTATAGACAGAAATGCAAACAGTTGAACTAACTGGGATCTCCGTTCAGTTCAGGCCTTGTAGGCACAAAAGAAATATATGAGCTTTACGTAATAAAGGCAATTAATTAATCAATTCATTCATTTATTCATTAGTTTATTCATTTATTCTTTCATTTGAAAGAAGCAGAAATTCTTTCTTCCTTGTTTTTTTTGTTTGTAGCCACAAACAAAAAGAAGCTACATGATCTATTAGGTTTTCCAGGTATAACAATGTACAGGTAACGTTAAACGTAACACTTAAAACTATCTGCAATACACACTTTGTCCGCAGCGCGACGCTTTTGCAAAAGTAAAGTTTGAATGACTTCCACCCAACTTCCGGTCCACTTCCTGCATTCCTGTCAACAACTCTCCGCCAATCACAGCCCGCAAAACGCATGACGTCACTACGCTCCACCAATCAGCGCGCGCGGGACAGATGACGTCAGGACCCTCGGGATCCCCAACTCATTTACAGGAATAATGTCGGGAGGTTGTTTCTTGTGTTTAACTCCAGCATGGTCGCGACGCTTCTGAGCGCTTTTCTGCTGTTTTTCGCCGTATTTTCTCAATCAGACGCCCAGGACCTACTCTCACAATGTAGAGACGAGTGTGACAATAGTATGGTGAGTGGAAAAATGTGTTTTTACGTCTGAATGGTTGTATTTTCGTGCGGCGTCCCGCGTAACTTTGGAGTGGGAGGGGGGCTAACGTTAGGTGTTGAAAGATAAATTTTTGATCGGTATGTTTTCTTACTAGGCGGTCGTGTGGGACTGAGAAACTGTGGAAATAACTACGAACTGTGAACTTCTGGGAAGATGTTCAGTTTTCCCTTGTCTTGGGGTAGTAAACTGTCCGTGAAGACGCTTTTACTAAAGTCTTTGAAGTCGCTTTCGATACTGAAAAGAGTTCATCCGTAACAATTTTTTTCTGAAGATTATGTCAAGGGTTCCTCAACCCAAATTTACGTATCCTCCATTTTTCTATAGTTTCTTCAACAAAAACAGCAAGACTGGTCTTTCTTTTAAGTCGTTGGAGACAACTAAAAAGAGTATGAAGCTACCACATAAGAAACCAACCTGTTTACAATTTCTTTGCAACTCGATCTAATTTCTTAGACGTGATTCTAAGACAGATCTGCGAAAGATAAGACGTTGCTTTAATCTTCTACTCCTTCGGTTTTCCCAAACCGTCACCTTAAGTTGTTTTTGAAAATACCAGAGCTATTATAAGTACGCACGAGAGGGCATGTGGTTTTTGTCAAGATTTCACGCTAGTCGGAGGGTAACACATTTTTGGCAGCTTGTAACATTTTTCTGACGTTGTTACTCACGTTCGGGACACCTGGAATTGTCATTAACAAATTCTGTATTTCTGTAACCTTTGAGTTTATTTTGTTTCGACACTTTACGCTTTTGATCGATATAAATGCAGATACTATGTTCAAATCTGTCATTTCAAAGATTTGCTGCTATTTTTGGGGGGTTTCAAACAAATTTTTAATTTGGAGACTAGCGTAGATTACTTAGATCGTGGGAAAGTTTAACAGATAAAATCATGTTTTCTTGAAGTACTAATCTTCTTTGCATTAGAGATTATCACAAATCAGGTGATAGAATGCAAAATAAATTGACAGTTTTCTGAGCTTTGTAATTTTGTAATTATAAGCCATTGTGAACTCTGGACTTAGTCTACTAGTACTACATATTGTCTATAGCTCAAACTGTGTTGGTATGATTATGAATTACATGTATTGAAATAAGTATGTTATGAAAATATAATAATATAATTATAAATATTTAATTTCAAACTCATTCCCAAGAGAACACACAGACAAGTTATCACACATTGATGCACAAAAAATGCCTAATTTCTATCTATTTGATGTTTCAGCGTAACTTATTACTCAAGGGTTAACTTCTTTTTTTGGAACCAACATTTTTGTTAAATTTTTAATGATACGTGGGTTTTGTGAATACAGTATATATCACACTTCATGGCATAATATCCAGAAAACTTCAGTATAATTTAATTTGACAGTCATGTTCCTGACTAGTCATAACAAAAGACTTGGGCTGACGTGAGTGACAGGATGTTAGTGGGCGGGGTGTTACACACAGGAAGTCAGAGGTGAGCTTACCTGTATCACAGGTGAGGTTACCTGTAGACGTAGGTGTTATACAAACACCTGAGTGTACACACTACACAGTAAGTACAGGTAGTACCAGTGGTCTAGCCAGTCTGGATTTTTTTCCATCAGATCAATTTTGTTTGAGACAACATCAAGTTGCATGTCAAATTTTCCTAATGAAAAATAACTGTTCTGTGTTCTCCAACTCAAAAAAATTAATTGTTCTAATTATCTGTAACGTTACATACCTCGGATTTTTTAAAGCATTCTATATATACTACTTACTAGTATTACTCTGTAAAATTTTTACTAAAATCAGCTTATTTTTCATAGGTGTAGCAATTATTATTATATGTTTATTATTGTACATTCATGCACCAGTAGGTATGAAGCATGTATGCCTGATTATTGTGACATCCATGCCCCACCAGGTATGAAGTATTTTTACCTGATGATTTCCTGTGCCCATCTGGCTATTTCCCTGAGTCATGACATACATTATACGCCACGGGCCATTTTGTGTTCATGACGTTTTAATTCCTATTTCTCTTGGCATGGAAGAGATATTTTTCCTCTTACAACTTTCGTGCCCTGATATCCATTTGTGTCCTTGTCTCTACCAGGCTTCAGAAGCAGCAACTGTCCTGCTTTAGCTGCACCAGTGGCATGTTATCTGTCGTTTTGGCCATTTTCTTTAAGTTTATTCCTGCCACTTCTGAAGCCTGGTACAGGTTAATTCATATCCAGTTTATGACAGGTTTCCAATGTAGCCTGGGTGCCTCCTGATTTGTAACGGCAACCCTGAACAAATCGGATGGCACCCAGGCTATTTCCAACAGTCACTACCTTACCAAAACCAGGCCATGGGACGTAACCATATTGAGATTATTAGTTACTGACTGTACATGTATTAACAACAATGTAATATGTTGTAAGCCTCAGGCATCAAACCATAAGAGACGCAATTTATTGAGAAGAGTAGGGGTGACCCAGGGTGTTTTGATAAAAACACAAGTCACATTGCAGGGTAGCATCATTGAAAAAACATTTTGGTTTACCTCACAGTTAAGAATGACAAAAGAATGACTCATGTTATAGTAACTAGTGTACCATCTGTTGTTTGTCCTTAATTTCAGATTATTGGTCACTTTACAACGTAAGCAAACAAAACGATTTCAGACTTGTTTGCAATACAAATGTATGT